AAAGCTGCAGCAGGGCTTGGACAGGGCACTCTGGGCTGGGTTAGGAACTGGCTGGAGGGCCCAGAGAGTGGTGGGGATGGAGCTGCATCCAGCTGGGATCCGCTCAGCAGTGGTGTCCCCAGGGATCAGGGCTGGGCCCAGTCCTGTTCAGTGTCTTTACTGATGGTCTGGATGAGGGGATCAAGTGAACCATCAGCAGATTTGCAGGTGACCCCAAGCTGGAGGGAGCATTGATCTGCTGGAAGGCAGGAGGACATGGAGGGGCTGGAGCAGGGGCAGGGAAGAGCAGCGAGGCTGGGGAAGGGACTGGAGCACAAGGGCTGTGAGGAGAGGCTGGGGGAGCTGGGGGGGCTCAGCCTGGACAGGAGGAGGCTCAGGGGAGACTCAGCACTCTCTGCAGCTCCTGCCAGGAGGGGGGAGCCAGGGGGATCGGGCTCTGCTCCAGGGAACCAGCAGCAGGACAAGAGGGCTCGGCCTCCAGCTGTGCCAGGGCAGGGGCAGGTTGGACACCGGGAAGGAATTTTTTCCATGGAGAGTGCTCAGCCACTGGAATGGGCTGTCCAGGGAGGGGGTGGAGTCACCGTCCCTGGAGGTGTTTGAGGACAGACTGGATGTGGCATCAGTGCCATGGGCTGGTAATCACAGTGGGGTTGGATCAAGGGTTGGACTGGATGGTCTCGGAGGTCACTTCCAACCCGGTTAATTCTATGATTCTGTGATTCTATGATTATGGAAACCCAAAGTCTGGTTTGTTGCTTCTACTGCACAAGGAACAGCTCTCCTTCCTTATTCCATGGGCTTTGGTTTCCCAAGTGCCACAGCCTTGTGTTCACCTCACCAGGATCCTCTCCAAGGTCAGGGCAGCACGAACCCATCTCATGGGGCTCATCTCATCCCTCAGCATGGATCCCTCATGCTCATCCTTTGGAATGGAATTGTGGGGCTCATCTCATCCCTCAGCATGGATTGATGGAGCTCATTTCCATCAGGATGAATGTCTGGTGCTCATCTCCATTGCTCAGGATAGATTCTTGGTACTCATCTCCATCTCTCAGGATGGATTTATGGAGCTCATCCTTTGGGATGGAATTCTGGTGTTCATCTCATCCCTCAGGATGGATTCCTAGTGCTCATCTCCATTCCTCAGGATGGATTTCTGGTGTTCATCAGGATGGATTCCTAGTGCTCATCTCCATCTCTTGGGATGGACTCCTGGTGCTCATCTCCATCCCTCAGGATGGATTCCTGTTATTCCTGGTGCTGAACTCCATCCCTTAGGATGGATTCATGGTACTAATCTCTGTTCCTCAGGATGGATTCGTGGTGCTCATCTCCATCCCTCAGGATGGATTCCTGGTGCTTATCTCATTCCTCAGGATGGATGTATGGAGCTCATCTCCATCCCTCAGGATGGATTATTCCTGGTGCTCATCTCATCCCTCAGGATGGATTTTGCCTTCAGCTGGTGCTTGCTGATCCATCCATCCACAGTTGCCACCCAAACCCCATCCCGTTCCAAACTGGAGCAGCTTCTTTTAGGGCTTTTTGTTCCTTTAAGGCCTTTCCCACCCCTTTCCCTGAACACAGGGCACTTTTCCAAGGGCCAAAGGCAGCCAGGCAGCCCAGTTGCATCATTCTATGGGGCCACTTGTGTTCCCAGCCCGTGACCTCACCCCAGGCCTCGCATCACCAGGAATTATTAACTCCCAAAGTGTCACCACCAAGTCAGGGATCCTCCTGAGGGTGAATCACGGAGGCCAATTAAACACCCACGTCACAGAAAACAATTCATGGGCCAGCTGAGCTGCTCTGGCACACGGGACACCTCCAGGGAAAACATTCCCAGGGAAAACATGGCCAGGACGTCACGTTCTGGTGCCACCAGGAAGCGTTTCAGTGTCACCCTGGTGAGTGTGACTCTGCTTCACTCCTGCCCTCACAGGGCCTGCCTGTTCAGCCCTATTCTTAGTTGGCTCTGCTGCATGTCCCTGGAGAAGAGGGATGAGCTCCCAGAACTGCTCCTGAATCTTTAGGAATCTTTAGTTTAACAAAGCTTTGAGCTGAGACTGGAGGAGAAATGGCTTTGATGCTCTGGCAGAGCCCAGCTCAGTCTTCTCCTTCCAGCCAGTGCAGGATGGGATGTTCCTGGATCTTGGCAGCAGCAGGGTTGGGAATGACATGGAGTAATCCTGAGGTGTCCTGGGTGGAAAATCAAGGAATTCTGGAGAGTCCTGGGGGGATTTTGGGGATGGGAAATGTGGCCAGACCTGGACCGTG